GAAGAAACTACAGAAATAAAGAATGCAGTGTGTAAAAACTCTACATGCAATTCAATTTTTCTGTAAGTCTAAAAGTACTCTGAAAAGGTGAAGTCTATTTAAATATTTAAAATGAAAAGGGTGTTCAAGATTGTAGACCTCAGGCCAGGAGTTCTCCAAAGAATGACAGTCATTCCAAAGAAAGAGCCAGAGATCCCTTGGCCAGAATAAATAGGTCAGTGTGTTTTGGCTGACTAGGGAGAATTCTGTCCCGGTCACATTGCAGCAGAAGAGGTGGGTACACAGATGGAGATACTCATGGGCCACTTTTACCACTGCCCTTTAGAGAAGCAAAGAGCCTTAAGGAGCAGACCTAGGAGTCAGTTAAAGTAAGTTAAAATCAGTTCTTCAACACGCTGACAGACCTCTCCCTCAGATTTACTTCCTGTCTGCTGCATACATTTCTGTGGTCCCTCTCTTCAAACTTTAATCCAGAAAGAAGTTCCCTCATTCAAACATGGGCAATTTTCAAAAAGAAATCCTAGTATCTGTGTGCTCATACTACAAGAATAAAAGCTGAATGGGAAAGGAAAAAAATAAATGACAAAATGGTTGACAGGTGAATGAAGAAAATTGTGGACCAGCCGGGACGCCACCAGCATCCGTGTGGGAAAACTGGCACAACAAGGAAAGGACTATCCTGTTATTCCACCATGCTGGTCCCAAGACTATTCTTTTCCAATTTTAGATTATTTTCTACATTGACTATACTGTTTCAATGTGTAAAAGGATGGCATTTAGATTCATAAAAGCTAAAAAAAGGCATTCAATTGTAAATAGAATATTTATTGTATCTTACTGTCAGAAATTAATGGATCGCATCTTTAAAGTCAGGCTTTTGTCCTCTATGTGATTTATAAGTCACATTGATAGTTACCATGGAAGGTTCACTGGAATGGTGAGAATACTTTTTCCCAGCAGAACCGATAAGCAGAAAGGGGGAGAGATTAAAAGAAACAGCTCATGTGTTTCATGGGGGCTTAGAGATTCTCAAGGCAGGATAGCAGGCCAGGTGTCCTGGACTTCGCTGATGCTGCCTTCTTGATCCTGAAGCAGTCTAGAGGCAGAATTTCTGCCACTTCAGAGTCCCCTGTTTGATTCTCTGCTTGAAGACTGTACTTTCAGGGATCATTTCTATAGTCGGTGATTCTCTGTTTGTTTCTTTGTTTCTTAAGGCTTGCAGCTGATTAGCTGAGGACTAACTACTTTTTTGAGGGGAATATACTTAATGTATCCTGTTAAATATTTGTGGGGGTTTTTTTTCAATTGCTGTGATTTTTTTTTTTCACCTGAAGCAAGGTTTACACATTAAACAGTAAATAAACAGTGGAGTTTAAAAGCCTAGCACCCATTATGAAACCTGATCAGCAACAATGTGGTGATGGGTTACTCTTAGCTAAAGGTGGTGATCTAGTTATTGGTCCTTGCAGGATACATTTGTAGAAGGAGCAGCATTCACCATGTCCGACATTTTACGTGGCTGTTTACGGTAAACTGGGAAGAGGAGGCTGGCATTTCCTGGTGTAGTGTTGGGGAATGAAAGACGGCCAGTGACACCTGACATTGTCATTGTACACCCAAGGGAAGCGAGAAAGAGCATCTTTTCTGAACATAGGTTTTAAAAAAATAACTGTCTCAGTTCTAGTCCCCTGTGTTATTTTGTGATTTTAAAGATACTCTTTTTTTTTCTACTCTAAATACCTTTAAAGTCAAACGTAACAAAATTCTAGTAAAAAACAAAAAGCAGAATTCATAGATTATGCTCTTAGTATCTCCCTTGAATAAGGAAATGGACAAATGCATACAATTTTGCTTCAGAAATTTTTTCTTCTTTTTTTTCTTTTTTCTTTTTTTTTTTTTTTTTTTTTAAAGATTTATTTTTATTATTTTTTCATTGGAAAGGCGGATATACAGAGAGGAGAGACAGAGAGGAAGATCTTCCATCCGATGATTCACTCCCCAAGTGAGCGCAACGGGCCGATACTATGCCGATCCGAAGCCAGGAGCCTCTTCTGGTCTCCCACATGGGTGCAGGGTCCCAAAGCTTTGGGCCGTCCTCGACTGCTTTCCCAGGCCACAAGCAGGGAGCTGGAAGGGAAGCGGGGCTGCCGGGATTAGAACCGGCGCCCATATGGGATCCCGGGCGTGCAAGGCGAGGACTTAACCACTTGCGCCACCGCGCCGGGCCCTGCTTCAGAAATTTGCTGCTGCTTGTTCCACAATGGAGCAGATGTCCTCTTTTTGAAACTAAGTAGAGAAAGGAGCAGAAGCAGCACCATTAAACTCTATAGCAAATAGCAGTGATTGTCATCTCATAAGGATTTGTTAAAGTTATTTAATCCATTAATGACTTTGTCCAGAGAGGCTTTTAGCCCTCCCTAAAGAATCGTGTGGATCATAAAGTACTAACAAAGTTTTTAGCTGCACAGCCATGGGGTTATGACTTGCTGGAATCCTGAGGATGTGTGGTTTGTCAACAATGTAGACGATGGAGTCTGTCACTAGCAGAGATGTGCTCTGTGCCGTCCTTCGTCCCGAGTATGGCAGATAGTGGTGCCTCTGGTAGTTTGCATGTTGTGTTAGTACTGGGGTACTAGAATAGCGAGTTCTTGTCAACGAAACTTTCATTTTGTTGAAAGTTCCCTGGAAACAGCTCTGCATCCTTCATGTTCTGGGAAACATGTAGATGTCTAGAATCATTTGGTTTACAGACTCAGAATAAAACCAGAGCAATAGAGCAGCATTAGGAGAGGCCCAGGGTCTATAATTTTGTTGCTACTTATACAAATATTAATCATATCTAACCAGTAGTTTCACTGAAATATCTAGATTTTTTCCCAAGTAACTTGGTACCATAGTCTAGCAATGTTGACCCACAAAATTAGCCATCTTCCATATTCCAAGCCGTATTCCATGCTTTTATTTTTCAATAATCTACTTTTATTCTTAGACCTACTAATTAATCTGTTTTTTCTCTCTGAAATTCTATGCTCTTTCTTTCACCACTAATGACCTTATACATCATGACTAAAGGTTTCCAGTTTCTGAATAATACATTTCTGCAGACCATCACTAGCATTTGTTGATTTTTTTCATATTTGATGATCTAAGTTGCATAGTTTATGAGCTTAAGACATAATGATGAAATCTTCAACATCAGATATTTTGTGAATAAACTGGCAATTTTTCTCTTATGTAAGTCATTCCACTTAGATTACCTGATAAGACAAGGTAGCATGGATGCTTGGAGCATTGTGATGTCACAGGATTACACCTCAATTCTTTTTATACATGTCTTACTCTGATTTTAATGGATCACTTCACAAGAGGTAATAGAAATGTCACAATCTTGGATATACAGAAATTTTCGAACTACAAAGCATAGTGTCTTGCTAAAATGGGTCAAGGAGTTCATTTTCAACTTACCAAAAAAGAAAAAAAAAGTTTTACATTAATCTAAAATGTTATTGCCAAAAATAAATCAATGGCATTATAAATTTCTTTTTTATTCTTCCTGTTGTTGATTTTGTTTGTGGCTTTTCATTTAAGGGGATGTATAAGTAACTGTGTAATAGAGACTATCAGATCCATATATGAGGATTCAAGGCAGTGTGCATCTCTAATTCCAGATCAAAGATGGACTCCCAATGAAACTGTAAACTATATCATGACAATAGGATGCTGGACTCTCTGCCATTGTCCATGCTCGCAATGATGGACATATGACTGTTATTAAGAGCTATACTATTATAATAATATAGGGGAACTCAGTGAGGGTGGTAGGGGACTTGCATAGGGGGTAAGGGAAATCCAGTGTCTATGAAACTGTCATAAAACTCTGATAATAATAAAATGAAACAAGATAAAATCATCCAAGCAAACACTTATAGGAAAATTTTAAAAATAATATGAAATGTTAACCCAGCTACATAAGTTTTAGCTTCATATGTGTGCATACAGTTTTTTGAATGCACTATTCATTTTGGTATCCACAGGGTTCTGGTAACCAATTCCTGATGTATACTGAAGGCATGCCCAATCTGTTTATTGTCATGTGTTTTTGCTTCTTTGAAACTTCGTATATTATTATTATATTGGAATGAATGTAATTAGAGCTCTTGCATTCATATTTTCCTAAAATAGATTTTTGTCCAATGACATAGCTCCTGTGATTCTTGCAAATTCAGAAATCTCAATTTAAACATGACAAACTGCCTTCATTTTTTTTTTTTTTTTTAAAGATTTATTTTTATTATTTTTTCATTGGAAAGGCGGATATACAGAGAGGAGAGACAGAGAGGAAGATCTTCCGTCCGATGATTCACTCCCCAAGTGAGCGCAACGGGCCGATACTATGCCGATCCGAAGCCAGGAGCCTCTTCCGGGTCTCCCACAGGGTACAGGTTCCCAAAGCTTTGGGCTGTCCTCGACTGCTTTCCCAGGCCACAGGCAGGGAGCTGGAAGGGAAGCAGGGCTGCCGGGATTAGAACCGGCGCCCATATGGGATCCCGGGCGTGCTAGGCGAGGACCTTTAACCACTTGCGCCACCGCGCCGGGCCCCAAACTGCCTTCATTTTATGATAATCCGTTCTAAAGTGACGACTATAACTTCAGCCCCCTTTCTTCATTTTTCTGTCCTTGCTTACTTCAGTAACAGATTTATGTTTTTGAGTTCTCTTTCTAATCCTTCTCTAGTTTTATCAACCGTTCAGAATACGATATTCGTGGCATTAGTAATCAATTTCTCCCAACTAATATCATTGAAAAGCTGCAAAAGCACTTGCTTTCAGAACGTGAAGATGTTGAAAGTATGGGGTTTGACATGTTATCCCAATTCTTTTCTTTATTTAGCTCATATCAAAAATAGTCAGAGATAGATATCTTTGAAGTCCATGCAATGCTTCGTTTTCTGCTATTAGTTTGCTTCATGTTTTCATGCTGTTGGAATTGAATTTTGACAGACGACTGCTGGACACCGAAGATGAGCTCGGTGATATTCAGACAGATTCGGTCCCGCTGGAAGTGCGGGACTGGCTGGCGTCTACCTTCACACGAAAAATGGGGATGACGAAAAAGAAACCCGAGGAAAAACCAAAATTTCGAAGCATTGTTCATGCTGTACAAGCTGGAATTTTTGTGGAAAGGTAAGTGAATTGTTGGTATTTCAAGATAACACTATTTGAATGACAATGAGTATTTTTTTTTAACCGAAGTTAAAATAAGACCTAATTGAAGAAAAGTGCTATTGCATGAATAACGGATTAGGGACATCATGATGGATTTAAGGTAGCAAAAATGCCTTGTTCTGGATGTATGATCTTTACTCATATTAGGTTTGGATGAAGACTGAAAGCAAAAGATTCAGAATAATCATTTTTCTCAAATGAAACTATGTGAATAACTAATTGAAAGCAATGCTAACGCACATGAATAATATGTGGTATCTCATATAATAAGTCTTCCTTTGGGAAACAATTCATAAATCAAAATTAAACAGGGTTTTGCTGCCTAAAAGAAAAAGGCCAACATCGCCTCATCTTTTGAACATTCTCATTTCAAACTGAGTAGTTTTTCAACATTTCTCTCATTAAAAGGAGGGGCGTTTGACATCCCCTAAAACACAGAATCAAAGTTTCTGATGTGAAAAGTATGTTAATATGACCCAATTTTATATTTGTTAAGCAAAGAAGAGCAGTTTATTTTTCTTTCTAGGAAAAATGTTTCAGAACTAAAAATATAAAAAGATCCAAAATAACCATGTTATATTTGACAAAGTTGAAAAGTAGTTATAAGAAATTCCTTATATTAAATACTCTTACATTAAGTAACATATAAAATTATGTATTTCAGAAACTAATGAGATTGAGAGAAAGGAAGATGTATTTTTGGCCAACATACATCAAATTAAAGTGAGACTACACTAGGCCAGTACAATGACTCAATTGGATAATCCTTCCCCTGCAAGCAGCGTGATCCTAAATGGGTGCTGGTTAGTGTCCTGGCTGCTCCATTTCCCATCCAGCTCCCTTCTTGTGGCCTAGGAGGGCACAAGAGGGTGGCCCAAAATTTTGGGACCCTGTGCCTACATGGAAGACCCAAATGAAGCTCCTGGCTCCTGGCTTCGGATTGGCTCAGTTCCAGCCACTGTGGCCACTGGGGAGTGAACCATCACAGAGTGTATCTTCTGTCTCTCCTTTGCTCTGTAAATCTGCCTTTCAAAGAAAATAAATTACTCTTTAAAAAAATTTTAAAAGGCAGGAGGAGGGAGGACCACATCATTTTGTATTCTTTCATTAAGCTCTAAAAGCATTACAAAGCACTTTTGTATGCTAAAAGAACAATGGGGAAGGTGCTTGAGTATTTTAGAAATGCAAATGAGAATGCATTGCAAGACTCACACTGTGTGATTTAAAGCTGTACAAGAGCCACAACACAGGGCTGCTTATATCATGGCCTTTGGCTGTAGCCCAAAGTGGCATACAGAGTTGTATTCAAAGTATTTTGCACATTTATACGCCTTATGTAATTGGCTGAGATGAAAGAATCTGAAAAACACTTTGATTCGTTTGGTGAAGTGCTACCATCCTTACTAGAGCATTAACCGCTTCCATTCTGGACCAGATAGGACCAGAAGTTTCAGTCTGGGAGGCAAGAATTTCTTCCTCTGTATTCTTGGTTTTGTTAAGCAGCTTCAGCAAGTGTGTGACAGCTATCGGATACCCCAACGCATCAGCTTTTAAACCTCTAAAGAGGGTTTCAAAGAATCAGTGAGAGCATCACAGATAAAAGAGTTGATGTTTGATTTGCTGAAGGAATATACACCTTCTCTTCTCTGACAAAAAAAAGGCAAACAAAAAGGAAATGAAAACCAGATTTTGATTTCTATTCAAGAGAAAGAATTCCATATTCATTTTACATGCCTCATAAAAATTTCTTTAATAGCTTATAGAAATATTAAAATATTCCAAAGGTTACTTAATTCATGAGCAATCTTGAAATCAATGTACTAAGGACATATGGAAATAAAATATTTTTATTGCTTGTGAATCCCTATTGGTAAACCCTTACAGATAATGTAACATATTTTCCTGGCATATTAAAAGATACTCATCTCTAATACTACAAGTCAGAAATCTTTCTTAAAGCCTGTTGCTTCTTCCTCCCAAGTTTTAAAGCCTTAGCAAGGTTTGGCAATGACTTACCTAAAAATATCCTGAGTCTACTCTCTTTCTCCTGTGAAGTCTTTGATTCCCATATCTAACATCTCATCACCTGCCAGAAGAAATAAAATGGCAGCTTTTTAACTGGGTTCCCATCCTCCTCACTTGCTTTCTGTAAAAATACAGCAATACTTTAGAATTCGTGCTAGCTTCTATCACTCCCAAGCTTAAACTTATCTGATGGTATTCCATTTCACTAACCTCCCTTAAAATTTGCAGCTTCATCTAATGATAATGGGTGAAGATACAAACCAACCTAATTTATCCAAGAACTTTGTTGAACTCTGTACTGCTTTGGCAACATTAATCCTACTATTCTCTCTGACCAAGTTGCTTCCCCCTGCAATACAGCAAGACTGACCCTTTGTGACTCCTGAGCACCTACCCTGGGTGCCAGTGCTCTCTGTCACTGGCACCAACCAGTGGCTTAGTTTATGGCACTCAGTGTGACTTCTTATCAGCGATTGTTGCTGGTGTTTTTCTCTTCAACATTTTTATCAGCCCCATAAGTGTAGTCATTGCATTTCCCTTGCTATGCATTCAATAGCCTAGCCAACTATAGTATCGGACTCAAAACATTTTAGAGGTTTCTAAACTGTTGTAATGATAGCAAAAAAAAAAAAAAGCTCTAAAAGTAATCATGTTATCAGTTTGATATTACTTACCTGTATGGGCGTAGAAAATTCATTGTTCTTTTTTTCAGAAGCTCTCTTTCTATGTGTCTCCAATTTATGGAAATTTAGGACAACTGGATCAATCATGCTGATTCTATGTCATGAAATAAGAAATTCATGGGTCAAAAACCTAAAAAATCTACTTTTTCACCCTAGATTTTTTTTAAAAGACTTATTTGAAAGTCAGGATGACAGAAACGAGGGAAACAGAGAGAAAGAGATCTTTGAGCAACTGATTAACCAAATGGCCTGGACCCATCACAAACAGGAACCAGGGACTCACTCTGGGTCTCCCACTTGGGTAGCAAAGACCTGTCAATCTCTGATGCTTTCCCAGGTGCATTACCAGGGAACTGGATAGGAAACAGAGACGCTAGGGCTCAAACCCACGCTCTGATATTGGATTTTCATGTTTTAGGTGGTGATTTAACTCACTGTACCACTGTGGGCCCCTGGATTTTTGTTCTTGGATGCATGATCTGGAAGGCATGATAACAAAAATATTTCCCTGCCTCTTTGAAAGTGTGATCCTCTTTTTATCTCTTTATATTTCATATAATGCGGAAACTGCATTGATAATGTACATTTCAAATTTGCTAGTTCCAGAAACTCAGTAGCACCAGAGATTCCCACTGAACCCAGGGAGTGAGAAGTATAGGAATTAGAAACAATAGTGCTGGCTGTAGAGTAATGAGAATAATTACGGGAATGATTATAATGGCACTCTTGTATTTAGTTCTTGTTAGATTAACCTAGGCATTTATATCATTGACTCCTCACAAAAAGCTTGTAATTATTCTCATTTTATAAATGAGTGACATTAAATAGCTTTTCAAAGGTCACGCAGCTGGTGATTGGCTAACTCTTGATTTAAGCCTGTGTTCTCTTATGCTACATCACACTGCTTTTCACGCCATGAGGTCAAACTGATTTAATGTTACTTAAGTGTTTTATTATTCTTGATTAGTTTCCATATTGACCTTTTCTCCTCTTTACCACCCTTGCATTTCCCTTACTACTCCTTCATGTAGTGATAAATGACAAGAAAAATAGAAAGGATTAATTGTTTCACCCCAAAACCATCACTGTTGACAGTAATTATTTTCTAAATCTTTTGTCATGATACTAGTTTCCTGTTCTGTAAGGCCAGAATAATTATACCTCTCTCAATAGATATAGTTAAGATATGTATTTTTATTTATAAACAGCTCTGAAACCCTCTGTCAGAGAAGCCAGCTAAAGGGAAGATTTTGTTGCATCTGATCACCCACACCCAGAAATGATTTATGACCATTTAAACATAAAACTAAGGCATGAAAATTAAGTAGTGATGTCTGTGAAGTAAAACAGGAAGATAGTTGATCAAGAAGAATAGTCTATAGACCAACATTTTAACCTGAACTTCTAAGAAGTCAAGATCAAAGGAAGCTATGATCAATTATTTGATTTTTATTTTTTAAAAAAACAAAAGGCATTTACATAGAAACTGTTTAATGTATCTCATGGAGTTTGGCTATCAAGCTCATTGGCCAGAAGAAAGATTAGTATCTTCTCAGGGATTTACAAAACATGCAGATTCTCTTCCACATGATTGTTTCTTATATTTTCGATTGTATTTAATTATATCATGGGGTTGTTCAGGCATTGTGGGGGTAGAAATTTCAGCAATAACGATTAATTTGTTATAAAAATGTAGGAACATGATTAAACAGTTGAGTTATTTCTTCCAGGATGTTGTGGAGGAATCATGTAGCAATCAGGGTCCCAAATTGTTGCTGGGAATTTGACATAAAAAACCTCATTTCTTATCTCACATGAAAGAATTTTTATACGGTCAATCTCAGCGTACAAAGCAAGATTTATTTGAGAGTGAGAACGAGGGCTCCTGCCATAGTGTCAGGAGGGGGCTCCAAGAGAGGAAAAACCCCTAGAAGCTCAAGAGTACCCAATTCACTGGCCAGCACTGACCAACGGACTGTCCCATCCCATGTGGATGAGGGGAGCATCCTCGATCAACCATATTCAGGAGCTCTTAAGCAATGATTATTTAATAAACTAAGACATCACTGGGCTCATGATGCAAATCATTCGATCAACTGAGATTACAACAGTACCCAAGACAATTGATCCAATTAATTGTAGTGACATGGAACAGATATCAAGCTTAAGAATCATGCACTTTAAATTATCCAGTCAGTAACAATCTCATTCCACCTAGTAGCATACAGCAGAACCAGGCATACCACACATTCCAGTTTTGTTTACAGAAAACAATTTGGGGCAATAAACTTACTGCCTGGCCTGAAAAAGAACAGCAAGATCTCAGGCTGGAATGAGATACTGTCTTGTGATAAGCCCTCTCACATCACTTTTGGGACTTTTCAAGAACCCAAGGTTATGGCTAGGTCAAGTTATGGACATGTCCTAGAAGTGTTTCCGAAGACCTGGCCTCATTCTCACCAGTTTCTGTTGTCTAGGCTGTCACATTTCCCACTGGGTTTTAGTACCCAGCAGGAGCAGGACGACAGATGTGCTCAGGGGGTTAACCATGGAGAGACTAGACTAAATTTTTCGTAAGCAGGTACTAGTCTGGCAATAGTTTCTAGATGGCTCCCTGTCCTCCTGGTTCCTGGGTAGAGTAGAACCAGTGTCACTTCCCAGACACCTTAACAGCTATGGGCATCTTCGTGATGATGCTGAACGGTGCCTCTCACCAAGTCTCCAGGATGAGTGGGTGATGTGATAGGATCCACACCAGATCTCCTGGCTCAAACAACTGTCCACTGTTCTCAGGCTGTGGGTGTGAGGAGTGGACTCCTCATACCAACGAGAGGGTGTGATTAAGAACCTGTTGGAGGGCCTGGAGAGACTGAGGGTTACACCTTATAGCCCAGTCACTATTCTTACAGTAAAACCATAAGCCTGAAGGAACTCCTCTTTCCAAAGGAAACAAAATAGGGAAGAGCAAAATTCTATATTCTACAAATCAACTTGACCAGGGAACAGAGACCCTAATGCCTAATAGCCCATCTGATACTTCACAAAACAGGTTTGATGCTGTTTCTACCCAAGCAGATAACATGTTGATTCTAATCTCACATGAACCCAAGTAAGAAGTTCTTTTGTTTGGCATCTGTCTTTTTGGTGGACCATCAAAATATTAATGAAAGTAGTCCATCCATACAATTACAAAGAACAGTGTTTTCTTTCTGAATAACCTTTATTAAGTCATATTGAATAACAATTTTAACAATGATTTTGTGAACACTATCTCCCCCCAGTATTCTTAGCAAAAAAGTTATGTAAATCTTGATGATACTATATGCTCCGACCTATACTTTTCATTTTTTTAAAGTCCTATAAAGGAAATATTTTAGCTTCAGCACTAAAAATTATGCACAAAAGTACTATTTGGCTGTCATGGAAAGTATTTTTCTTGTGTAAGCAGAATGCAGTCTGCTTTCAATAAGTTGAAATCCAGGAAAAGATGCCTTAAGAGAGAAACTAAACCCACATTAACTTTATTGGTTATTGTGAATAAAGAAAATACTGTTAGCCTCTGCAACATTATGGGTGCTTATAAATTATAACTTTAGTAATCCTTGTCACAAAAATATCTGAAAATAGTAATAAAAGGTGGGTGACACAAAAATGATCTGATCTGTTGTATCTAATAGACATACTTAAACCTGAGAAAAATTATAATTTATGCTATTTTTATTTTTTAGGATGTACAGAAAAACCTATCACATGGTTGGTTTGGCATATCCAGCAGCTGTCATAGTAACATTAAAGGTAAAATAAAATTAATTATTTTTAATTATAAAATAGTCATCTAAAAACCTTGTAGTATTTAGGTGAAAATTAAAACAGGTCTCTGTTACAGGCTACATAATGAAAGTAAAAAATATTTTAGACCTTTACAAAAGGCAGCATGTTCTCAACCATGGGGTCACTGTAAGCTTGTTTGAGGATATATGTACTGTGACAAACTGTACAAAAACATACGCATTTGTGACAGTGCACACATGTGTGTGATTTTCTCCTTCATACTATGTTTACCTGAATCTTGAATTCTGTATCACGCTAGGGCTTGTGAGAACATGTACATACTTTGTAATGTATGTTACTGAAGAAGTACATGCATCATTAAATAATGTTTTAGTCATGTTTAAAAGGCAGAACATACAGAAGCAAATTAGAATTTCATGTCTGAAAAAGCACAAAATTTGAAGAATTCGAGAGCAAAAACAAAACGCAAAGCTTCATTTCCTGTCTGGCTTCCTTCATGGTTGCCCTATTCCGAGACCCAATGGCACAATTAGACTCTCATGTGTTCACAGTAAAAGAGCCGAAGTGGGATGTGAGGAGAGCTGTTGGCACTCTTGTCTCCGTGGCGTGTGCATGTGAGACCCTGTTCTGCAGAGGCTCTTTGTTGGCTTAGCCTCCCAAATCCCTTATTTTTATGACTTGATTGGGTGGAGAGAATTTAGCTTTATCTCATAAAACAGCTTCATGGTGGTTTCTTGTGTTAATCAAAAGCTGAAAGGATGCTGGCAAGAAAACTCCTCAGGTTGCCTTATTTCTGATTTATTAGACCCTTTTCCTATTTTAAATTTGCACAGTTTGTTGTTGCTGTTTTTAAATTTCCTTGTGTGTATCCCTTTGGCATTTATTCTTTCTCTGCTGCATATTAGATTTAACTTAATTTATAAAAAAAAAGTAGTGTATTTTTCTTGATTTTTACATTTGTGTCTTCAAAACTGTAGTGCAGAAACATATATAACTGAAATGTCACATTAAAGAAAACTAATTATTTCTCAGATCAAGATATTTTGATTCCCTATTATTTCCTCAACTATTGGTACAAGAATTAATAATTTTAATTTTCTCTTCCTGATGAATTTTTGCTTAGAAATCATCTAACAAAATATGTTGGTATGAAAAAAAAAATGGGATGGGTTTTCAAAAATGCATTGTAGTAAAAACAAATGAACTAACACTTTCTGGGAGGAAACATCCAACAAGTAAAGTAATCTTAGATAAAAAATCTTCTGTTTCCTGAGAAACCTTGCCTTGTTTGTTCTTGACATGAGCCACTAAAAGCCAAACATCTGTAATAGTTTACAAATGTAAATTTTCACTGTTTATTAAAAACAAAAACAAAAACAGGAATACCAGTTCTTTTCTCAGTGGGAGACTGCTACTTGGAGCTGTAAATAGCAGCCTTTAAAAGAGTTTGCACAAAGTCTTTTGTGTTAGCGTTGGAATTTGATTAAAGATATGCTGGTTACAGTTGAGCTTTACCTCTAATAGAACTTTAAGAAATTTTTAATTTACCAAGAAATAAGTCAATGTTTAGGGATGAAAATAGATCAAATGCTAGATTTTAACAATGGTATGCAGACTAACCAAAAAGAATTTTAGTGATGTTTGTTTTCAGGTATACTTAAAAGGGCTATTTGAGGAAATTGCCACTGGTTTTCATAAGAATCATTTTATCTTTTATTTTGTTTTTAGGAATTTATTTAGTTGAAAGCCAGAGTTATAGAGAGAAAGAGATTTTCTGCCTGCGGGGTCACTCCCCAAATGGCCTAACAGTCTGAACCCAGGAGCTTAAGCTAGACCTCACACATCGAACCACAATCCACTGCTTATCAGGAGAGAGATGGATCAGAAGGGAGAGGCAGGAACTAGAACTGGCATCAGTATGGGCTGCCAACACCACGGGTTGTGTCTTCTATGCTACAGCGCCAGCTCCAGGAATCATTTTTAAAAGTAGACTTGTTTGAATAATTTTTTAATCACATAGAGTTGAATTTTACATATGTTTAGTTGAACTCTAAAACATATATTGAGTCAATGAAATTCTAGACAGTTCCTAGTTGATTTCATAATGTGTAACTTTAAGGCTGGCCATTTATAATTCAAGCCTAAGACAAACTGAGCAAATATTAGGCATTCATTGCTAATAATCTCTGGACATGTTTTGAACTGGCCATTTTGGTTCTTTAGGATTTTTTAAGCAAAATCGACAAGCATGTGAAGATTTGCTCTCTGTTCACTGCCTGTCGCAGTGTTGTCTATGCTTTCCTTCTGCACTGTCACCAACGGGTGTCAGCTTCTCTAGGGAACTGCATGAAAATCAAAAGTCAGGATCCTGCATGTTAACCAAAAGGCTCACTTTGTTTCTCACCGCTGGTCCCTGGAGAAAAGTGTCAATGAATCAACCAACATTAAAGCAGTGATAAGATAGTGTGCACTCTATCTCTGTATGATATTTGCACTTTAACAGAGCACATAATGTGTCACAGTGTGCCACAGCTATAAGCCAAATGGCTAACTCTACAGTGAAATAAAGCAATGTATCAGATGAGTGAATGGGAATGAGAAATTGAAGTCCTCTTCCTTTATTCCTCAAATAACCCCAGCAGCCATTCTCTGCTAAAATGAGAACCACTCTGGCAGTGTTATGAGAAGATCTCTGTGCTATGTTAAACATTATGGCATCAAATTTGTGGACTCCGAGATGCTAAGTGGCCCTGTCCTATCCAACTATGATTAAAATGTGAGAAATTTGGAAATATAACCTTCTATTGTTCAATGACTGATCAATCAAATATTTTCCATGGATAGAAACATAACTACATAGTATTGCCACCTGAAGTATTTATCCTTCTTTCCACAGGATGTTGATAAATGGTCTTTTGATGTATTTGCCCTAAATGAAGCAAGCGGAGAGCATAGTTTGAAGTTTATGATTTATGAGCTGTTTACCAGATACGATCTTATCAACCGCTTCAAGGTCAGAAATGTGGAACAAAGTGAAATGTTGTGAGATTTGGTTATTTGAATAAGAATGAAATTCAGAACATTTACTAGTCAATTCACATAGCATTTTCCTAGTTACTAGGCTGCAAAATTAGGGCAAGTTTGCCTCTGTGGTAGAATTCCCCACAGCTTACTGACACAGCTTTTTATGCTCCAGAACACAAGGCAAAGATTGCCTCATTCCAACAAAATACCAACATCTTCAGAATTGTTCACTGAACTTCGAGGTAGAGATTGGAACTAATATATCAAATATTGTAGATGTCTAGGGTTCCTAAAACGGAATGAAACTTAGCTGGGAGATTTTTTTTCAGACTGAAATGAAGAGGGGTTCTCATTAGTTTCCCTTATTGCCCTCTAAACAGATTTGATCCAGACTTCTGAGCAGCGCGAAGTCTGAAACTTTCACTTCCCAGAACTATGATGGTTTTTTTTGGTTCTAAAAGTAATAGAAGGTCATCTGTTTTAAACTCTTTGTGTTACAGATAGAAAAAAATTAAATTTCATCTTATATTTAGAAATTTCACCCTTTTCAATTAAAAAAATTTTTATTTGATAGGCAGATTTTTATAGAGGAAAGGAAGAGACAGAGGTCTTCCATCTGTTGGTTCACTCAAGTGTCCGCAATTGCCAAACCTGTGCTGATCCAAAGCTGGGAGACAGGAGCTTTTTCCCAGCCTTCTATATGGTGCAGGTCCCAAGGCCCTGGACCAACTTTTGCTGCTTTCCCAGATCATGAGCAGAGAGCTAGATCAGGAGTGGAGCAGCCGGAACATGATCCAGCACCTGTACGGGATGCTAATGATGGCAAGCAGAAGATGAACTAGCCTATACCGCACTAGCCCCATACTAGCCACACATTTTACCACTTTAAAGTGAGTGTTCCTATTTGACTCTGAGAGGATCATTTAAAGACTACAGTGTGGGTAAGGTTGTTATTTCACTTGTCTCCGTCAAGTACTTGGAGTTATATCACTGACACCTGGCTTAAAAGCCAGCATATTAAGGAACTGGATTTTCAGAACACTTGACGTTTAGCTTAAAGAAATCACTTCTCATGTTGTTTTCAGCTCCCAAACACTGTGCTCATGTTGGTTTAGTGCCACTTTCATAATCAAAATATATCCATAATTATTACTTTCCACAGATTCCTGTTTCTTGCCTAATTGCCTTTGCAGAAGCTTTGGAAGTTGGATACAGCAAATACAAAAATCCATATCACAACTTGATTCATGCAGCTGATGTCACTCAAACTGTGCATTATATAATGCTTCACACAGGTATCATGGTAAGAACATCTCTAATGACTTTGGTTAGTTTGGAAACATCAAATTTCAGTTTCCTAGGTCCCCATTGTCTCTTTAATGTCCATAGAAAAAACCATAAGTAATAATCTTTCAGACTTTTTTTAGATTTATTGACATCAGTAACATTTGTCAAAAAAAAAAGTATTTAACTCAGTGAAAAAAAGAGGTTCCTAGAAATGCATTACAATGTATGAGTTTTTTTTTTTAAGTTGAATTGTTCTGTGGTTTTGCTTGTAAAATTTTGTTGGAATGAAAAATTGTGAGCCACAAAAAACATCTTCTAAATAAAAGTTACAGTGCTGTTCCCTTTTTACTTATATTCTCCATTTCTTGTATTCCTAATTACAATCAAATCCTAATTAGGATTTAGGGAAATTATTTACTTGAATTCTTCCAAATTCTCTGTCCTCTTCTGTACATCTGGATAAATCATTGTGTGAGTGAATAAATGATTTAGCGGGGCAGATACTGGGGTAATGTTAAATATATAACAGAAGCAGTGAGTACATGACAACTTCAGCTTTCTGTAATAGATCTCAGGAGGACCTCAAAATGTGAAAAGAGGGGACCTTCTGAAAGTACCAAAAAGAAGTGGGTTCAAAGCAGAATGGCCCATGTGAGATGCCAAAATCCTATCGCTTCTTCGGTTCCTCATTTGTCAACACAGGCTGAGATTGTACCATATAAGAGCGTGTAATTGAATGTTTCTCTTTGTCCCAGAAATATGCTGCCACTCTGAATTTTAGGAGCCAAATCCTACTTATTGGAAAGAATCATTAGCCCTCAGGTGTATGTAATTTGCAGTCTTTGGAACCCACATAACCTTAAACTTTATCATTCTCCAGGAATGTCAAGCCCTAAAGATCTTGAAAATGTCCAGCAAATGCATCATTTTCCAAGTTTATCATAGGCAGAAATATTTTCCTACCCATTATCCTTTCCCACCTGTGATTTATTACACATAACACAACCAACTGCTACAATTCTGTCAATAGCGTCTCATAAGGTGCCTGAAGAAATTGTTCCTCGTCTTTCATTATTCATAAAAGTTCAAGACCCATTAGATGCCTTAGGCCTTGATCCCACTCCTGTCATTCATCCATATATCAATTGCTCCAAAATAAATAATTCCAAAGCAAAATGACTTAAACCATAATTTGCCATTTTCTCTCAAGTGTCTCAGAGAGGACCCGACTAGAAGGCTGTCATCTGGGGTCTCCCATGAGATTGCCACCAGTGACCATGACTGAACATCAAAGGACATCACTGAGCAGGATAGCCAATGATTTGCTTGTGCAGTTCTCTAATTATAACAGCTTTGGCTGGGAGCTTAGTTGTAAATTTAAGGATTTTTTAAAAAGTTTGATTTATTTGAAATTTAGAGAGAATCTTTCATCTACCGACTCACTCCCAAATGGCAACAATAACCTGCAGTGGCCAGGCTGAAGCCAGGAATCCTGAGCTTCCTTTGAGTCTCTCATCTGGGTGCAGAAATCCAAGAATTTGGGCCGTTTTGCACGACTTTCCCAGACACATTGTCAGAGACCTAGATTGGAATCAGAGCAATCAAATCTCGAACAGGCACCCTTACGGAATGCCAAAAATACAGATAGTAGCTTACTCACAGTATGAAACAAGGGCCCCTAAGGATTTTTAAAGATCTCATTACAGCTTTGTATATATTCTGTAATAAGTTATGAAGTCACATGTCCTGATTTGGCACACTCAGTCTTATCTTAAAGGAGACATAAATCTCAAAAACTTCACTCACTAAGGAGTTAGAGAAATCCTCTTCTGAGCTTCTAGAAGGAAGAATTAGATGTGATGTAATCAGCTACACTAGATTTTCCCAATTTAATGTATACATAGAGACAACTTAAGAAGTGAGACAATAGAAGACGATTTAAGAAGTAAGTGGGCATTTTGAATTAATGAAATGTTCATTTCCTTCACCCATTTCTCCACATGATTGTTTTGCTGTCATTGAGTTTCTGAAGCTCTTCCCCCACCCCCAATTTATATTATCATTTTATAATACAATGCCATTGGCCCTGGGATTTCCCTTATCCCCTCCTCAAATCCTATCCTTCCACACACTGACTTCCCATATAATATTACAATAATGTAGTTCTTCATAAATAGTCATAAGTGCATCATTGTGGGCATGGAAAATGGCAGAGTCCAACATCCTATTGTCAAGCTATATTTAAGTTTCATTGGGAGTCCATCTTTGGTCTGGAAGTAGAGATGCATACTACATTATATCTGGATATGGTAGTCTCCATTACACAGTTACTATTCATGCCCGTAAATGAAAAGCCACAAAACAAAATCAGCAACAGGAATAAAAATAGAAATTACAGTGCTATAAAGTAAAAAAACATGCTGCTGAATGACTAATTTGTCACTGAAGAAAAGAAAAAAGAAAATCAAGAATCTTCTTGAAGAAAATGATGCTATTGTATGATCTATGATCAGTGAAGAATTTAATATGGAGAAATGAAAGTAAAAGCAAAACATCAAAATCCACAAGATATAGTTTCCGCTGGAATTTGTTGGTGAGATATGTCTCCTGTATGCAACAAATGGCTTTTATTTATTAATCCAGTCTACTAATCTATGATGTTTGATTGATGAGTTTAAGCTGTTTACATTCAGGGTGATAACATGAATGGGTGGTAATTTGGCCTTGTCATTTTAGCAATGGGTTGTTCATTGATTTAGTCCTCTGTTATTATTTTACTGGGATGTTCTTCGCATTTGCCTTTGGCTTTGGTGGCTGCTATTCTTTTTCTCCATCAAGAGAATATTTTTAAGTATCATTTGTGGGGCAGGTCTGGAAGAGGCATATTCTTTTAACTTTTCTTTACTGTGTAAGAATTTTCTTTCATTTTTCAAAGACCAGGGAAAGCTTTGCTGGATAAATTATTCTGGTATGATTTTTTGTGTGTGTGTGTGCTTTTAGAATCTGGAATATGTCAATTCATTAGCTTCTGGATTATAGAAATTTTTTTTTACATATTCCTAATGTTTGATTGAAGAGAGTTTGATTATTATATATTGTGATGAAGATCACTTTTGGTCAACCCTGTTGGAAGTTTTGTACCCCTCCTGGATGTTATTTCCCAATTCTTTCTCCAAATTAGGAAAATTTTCCTTTATTATTTCTTTAAATACATTTTTTAATCCAGCTTCTTTTTCTGCACCTTCTGGAATTCCCACAACTCATGTTTGACCTTTTAATAGTTTCCCTTCATTCTTGAAAACATTTTTTTATCTTGACCCAGCTCAGCTTCCAGCTTTTTGATTATTTCCCCATTGTGACAAGAAATATCTTCCTATTCTGAAATTTTTTTCTTTTGCTTCATTCATTCTGTTTTGGAGACTTACCACTGAATCTTTAATTCACTCTATGGCATCTTTCATTTCTAAGAATTCAGCTTGAGTTTGTTTCAGTGTTGCTATTTCCAGTGTAACATACTCCTTAAATTCCTTGAATTCCTGTATGTGCTTCTCAGTGTTGATAAGAAACTTTATAATGAGTTTTCTGAGTTATATATCCCCAATTTTCTTGATGTCTTCCTCAGTTAAACCTGAGATTGACAAAGGCTTTTGCTCCTTTGCAGGGGAGTCTTCAGTAATATTCATTATGCCTCTGTCTCTTCTTTTGCTCTTAGTCATTGTACTTCTGGTTAGCAGATGCTTCTCCATGGGGCAGGTTTCTAAGCTGTGTCACCCACAAGACTACAATTTGATTTTACTAATTCAGCTTGGCACCTGGTTCTTTGCTTGCAATCACTTATGCCAGTCCCTCCAGCGAGTTTCAGCACTGGACACTTGTGTTAGACTTCCACCATGGTCTCCATAGCCCCAGTTCCTGCCTCACCACTCTCCACCTCCTGTGATCCTGTGCTGATGCTGCACCATTGTCTGTACAACCTTTCTTCTACTAACGGTTTAGGACACCAGGTGTCCTAAATAGCTAAGTTGCTGGTGGTACTGATCTTTCCAGCACCTGCTGGCTGTTAGATCTGATGGCTACATGGACCTATTTTGAGTTGTAAGATGGCAAATTCAGTATTATTTTCTTTGCGGGCCCAGTGCAATACACTGAGCTATAATTGAGATCCCTCCCAGCTCAGCACATGTGCAGCTAGCTCATTGTTGTCCCTGCAGTCTTAAAGCCTTTGCTACACTGTACAAAATCACGCCTAATGTGCCATAGGTGGAGTTATGGATCTGATGACCATTAGGTATAGGGGTTACCTAGGCCTATTTTGGGTGGAGCCTGTAGAATGCCATGTTGGTGCAGTGCGCTAATCCAGAAATGAGTTTGCTCCCAGCTTAGAGCATGTGCACTCTCATCTAATAGCCTTTGCCTGCCTATACAAGATGGTGCCTGATTCAGTTCTGGTGGGGGTCTGGGCTATGAAATCCAGCCTGTTCCCATACCACCTGTTTGGGATCTGCTGCTTTGTCTCTACTCCTGGTCAAATCAAACAAATCAGCAGAACGAGCAGTTCTTTACCTGTGTTCATCTGTTGAGCTGCCAATGAACTGTCCTTTCCACCTGGTGGCTGGTGGAGCTCCAGCCACCGATGGAGCTCAAATTGCTGCTCCCTGACTGCCACTGCGTTATCTGGTCACTGAAACACCATACTGCTATTTCCACTGCTTTTGGATGTCCAGGTGCCCCTTTGCCATTGGTCCGTACTCTCCTATTTCCTGGAATGTGCCCTCTCTGCCTGACCCTGGTTAATGTTTCTCCATGTCTTTAAATTTGTTCATAACCTATTCCACCTATTCCATCTTGATTCTCTGAAACTCTTTCTAAATCCTGGATATTAGGCCCCTATTGACTGTGTGGTCTGCAAAGATTTTCTCCCATTCTGTTGGTTGCTTCTTCACTTTCTTGATCATCTTTGCTGTACAGAAGCTTTTTAGTTTGGTGCAGTCCCATTTGTTAATTTTGGCTTTGACT